CCAGTGTGAAGCGCTTGAATTCAGCGATGAACACAAATGACTCTGTGATTTAAACTAGTTTAAAGCCAAACAGGAGAAACACTGTGTGCAACGACAGTCAGAAGGCTTTTCAATCTACAAATCGCCATCATTTACCATGGATTTACTGTAGTAACACTCACTGCAGCATGGTATTGTGGCAGAAATTTGGGATATTCACACTGAATTTTATTAAAGGAGTAATGGTATATAATTGTAGTATGTATTTGTGATTAAGCTATAGCATGTGTGCATTTATACTGAATGTTTTTAGACTACTGTTTTTCAAACAAATAGGCTACCTAAAAACCATATAGTTATATTTTTACCATGGTATTGAGGTGCTATATATGTGGTTCTAACGGTGTTTATCGTGGTTTAAATGTATGTTAACATGGGAGACCGATGCTTAATTTAAAAATTAATTAATTAATTAATTAATTAAAACTTGGTCAGAATAAATTTAACCATATAAAACTGAGGTTGCTACCATTTTTAGAGATCTTAACTGATTTTGATAATGAACAAAAATGTACCTCTGTGTCCTAACTCAAGCTACTATCAAATGTGCATTTCTAAGAGACAAAAAGTAATATTATCAGGCAACCCACAAACCTGTTTCTTGATTTGAAACAATATCACTCATTAGAACATGCAGAAACTAAGAAATACATTTTTTCTATTTAGATATTTATTTTGTTAAGGAAAATTAATGGTCTGGTTTCTACAACTTTCACTTTGGAGCAAAAAAGAGAACTAAAGATTTGACATTTACCGTGATAATTATCGATATCGACTGATATGAAAAAAATGATCGTGATTCGTATAATATATCCTGATAATTTTTTTGGCCATATCGCCCAGCCCTAATTAATATTAAAAATCATGTGCATCAATCGGAGTGCAAACAGTAAAAAGATCTTGAGGCAGGTGTGACACGCTTACATATTAAAAGGAATCAAATGTACTATAATAAGTGTAGAATTGCACTGTCTGTTTACTCACTTGCATCAATCGGAGTGAGAGAGACCGTGAGAGATGTTGAGCCAGGTGAAAAGCGTTTGGAAAATAGTGAATATTGACCTATTGTGCTTACCGTTGTTGCTGTTAGCAGGGGTTATCGCTGCATTTGGGGTAAAAAAAAAAAAAGACAGAATTATGTATTGTGCCAAGAAGGTTGTCTTTTAGTTCACACAGGCACGAACTGATTGGCAGCTGCCTTTAGCGGAGCCTTTTACCGATTATTACCTCCATTGATCAAAGATTCGGCACGGTCGTCTGTGTGTGACGTCACCTCCCAGTACAAACACGCCCCCTAGTATAGTCCCGCCCCTCACATTGATTGACAGCTTTCCGTGTAGTAGACATCGGAAATTCTAATGCAAATGAAATTGCGATTCCATTTGAGTTTTGGCAGGTTACATGCATGACGCAGAGTGTTGCTTTTTCATGAGAGTGAAAAAGCAAATATGGTCATTAATATTGCTATAGGCTCATAACTCGTAAGACATGGGAAATGCAGTTGCAAATGGACTTTGCTTTTGCATTTAAAATGTGGCAGTAGTAGGCGCGTTTCCATTACCCTTCAAATTGCGCAAATTGAAATTGCGAATTGAAAATACGCCTAAAGGAAACGCGTCAATTTCGCAATACTTTTTATCGGCATTCAGAAAATATCGCCAAAGTTTTGCGCAAATCTGTAATGGAAACGCGCCTGTAGAGTGCAATGCAAACGGTAATGCAAGACTTGCATTTGGATTATTATGTCACGATTTATGCGTCCACATATGGAAAACGCAATTGAAAATACAATTTGCAATTCCTTTTAAAAATTGCCCTGGATATTCTTCCATACACCCCGCCCCAAAAGTAAAGTGAGAAGTTTGAGTACAGGGCGGCACTGCCGCGTCAGCTGGCCGGCCCCCGTCGCCACGCAGACAGATGTGCAAGATGGCCCAGCGGCTTACATTTTACATTTGTTTGATTTTGTCTCTGCAAACCCTCAATCCCTTCATCGTATTGATTCGGGCAAATGAATCAAATCAAGATGTTAACATTGAAGTTAGGTTTCTGCCAGAAAACTGCAGCCAGAAAGCCAAGAGAGGAGACATGCTGAATGCTCATTATGATGGATATCTAGCTAAAGATGGATCTCAGTTCTATTGCAGGTAAGTGCATTTTTACGAATGAAGTTGTTGTATTAAACAACAAATAGGCTATTCAATGCAGGTTATATCTCTGCTTTGAGAGAGAGAGAGAGAGAGAGAGAGAGAGAGAGAGAGAGAAAGAGAGCTTGTAAACAGTGTATTTAGTATTTATTCGCGTTGTAGATAAACACTTAAAGGGATAGTTCACCCAAAAATGAAAATTCTGTCATCATTTACTCACCCTCAAGTAGTTCCAAACCCGTATACATTTCTTTGTTCTGCCGATCAGAAAGGGAGATATTTTGAAGAAAGTTTGTAACCAGGCTGTTTTGGGGCACCATTGACTTCCATAGTAGGAGAAAAAAATACTGCTATGGGAAACAGAGCAGTTCTCTACCCAGAACTGCTCTGTTTCCCACATTCTTCAGAATATCTTCCTTTGTGTTCTGCGGAACAAAGACATTCATACAGGTTTGAAACTACTTGAGGGTGAGTAAACGATGACAGAAATTTCATTTTTGGGTGAACTATCCCTTTAAGTTATTTTATTTCCAGACAATGCCAAGTAAAGCTGTTCGTATTCATTTTCTAGTCGTTCGACAAACACGGGTCACCCACACTGGTTTGTGTTAGGCGTTGGAGATGTTATTAAGGGCCTCGATTTAGGGTTGGACGGCATGTGTCCCGGTGAGAAGAGAAAAGTCACAGTTCCTCCATCTCTGGCATACGGCGAGAAAGGAAAAGGTAGGTCTTTTCACTTCAAATGCGTAGAGAAACTTACAAACCCTTACACAGGCGGCGCTGGTTTGCTTTTTATTTTTTATTTTTTTGAGTAATGTTTGTTGTGGGTGGTTTTGTTTTTAATTCCATTGATTTGGACATTATTTAAAATTAACTTTCTTGTTTTTTCCCCCCTATAAATGGTATTGTTTTTTAGATCATTTATTAAAAGTCCAACTTAAAGAAACCTGAATAACATTATTTCTCATTGTACTGATAAATGATGTCCTAGATAATTAACATCACATTGCATTATGCTTAAGAGTAAAATATTTTTCTACCCAATATTATAGGATATTACAAAAACATTGAGTTCACATTTACTTGTTTAGCGCATTTCACAGTGATTCCAAAGCAACTTAATGAAAATACCATCACACAACAATACAACTTTTAAAAAAAGAAAAGAAAGAAAGAAAAGAATGTTTTCTTTTCTACAGATCCCTAATTTAAATCTCAGTTAATTATGAAAAAAAAATAAAGGTTTAAGATTTAAACTATTAACAATCACCATTCTGTGATGGAATAGGTCCTGTACCACCAAATTCAACTGTGATCTTTGAGGTGGAGCTGTTGTACATAACTAGAGGACCACGCAGCATAGATGCCTTCAAAGAAATTGACGCTGACAACGACAAGGCCCTGACAAAAGAAGAGGTAATAGACATCAGTTAATGTATGTTAATTGTTGTAGCAGGAATTTTCTTTTGCATACCTAATTTTTTTATTTATTCATTATTATTATTATTTTTTTTATTTAAATATTGTCATTTTGGATTTACAGATTAAGGAATACTTGAAAATGGAAGCAAAGAAGTTAAATACACAGAAAGATGAATCCTATTTTGATGATGTTGTGGCAGATGTGTTCCATAAGAATGATCACAATGCTGATGGGACCTTATCACTAAAGGAGTACGATGTTTATGGTCATGATGAACTATAAACACTATTAGAAAGACATTTTTATGCAGCTGGTGCACTGGATATTGTCTACAAGACTTCAAACTGTAGAGTTGCTAAAGGATTTTGCTTTGATGAACGCCACTAAATTTTGAGTAAATTTCACTCAAATACTAACTTGTACTAATGCAAAAAACTAATAGCGCATAAAAAAATATGCTTTTTCAAAACCGTTCAGACCTTTATTCAAAATGCTGGCACCTTTCTCAAATTTATCATTATCTTAATGTTCTTCACGCTAAGAAAAAAATGTTCTTTTAAGAACTGTTCAAAGATAGGTTCTTTGTTTGGAGGACCAAAAATGGGTTTTCTATGGCATCTCTGCAAAAAGCAGTGTAAACAACCTTGTTTTTTGAACACAGCACACAATGGTAAACTTTGCACACATTTGCAAATATTTATAGACCAATATAATCCATATCGGTCAACCACTATTTACAGCCAAACAATTCAGGCATTTGAACTCACGGATTGCATTTATAGCTCTGTTTAAATCATTATCATATTAAATGTCATATTTACATTGTATAATGTTGAAAAATTTACTTGAACAGCATTTTCTAAACAAAATGTATTAATTGCGATTCCATTTGAGTTTTGGCAGGTTACATGCATGACGCAGAGTGTTGCTTTTTCATGAGAGTGAAAAAGCAAATATGGTAATTAATATTGCTATAGGCTCATAACTCGTAAGACATGGGAAATGCAGTTGCAAATGGACTTTGCTTTTGCATTTAAAATGTGGCAGTAGTAGGCGCGTTTCCATTACCCTTCAAATTGCGCAAATTGAAATTGCGAATTGAAAATACGCCTAAAGGAAACGCGTCAATTTCGCAATACTTTTTATCGGCATTCAGAAAATATCGCCAAAGTTTTGCGCAAATCTGTAATGGAAACGCGCCTGTAGAGTGCAATGCAAACGGTAATGCAAGACTTGCATTTGGATTATTATGTCACGATTTATGCGTCCACATATGGAAAACGCAATTGAAAATACAATTTGCAATTCCTTTTAAAAATTGCCCTGGATATTCTTCCATACACCCCGCCCCAAAAGTAAAGTGAGAAGTTTGAGTACAGGGCGGCACTGCCGCGTCAGCTGGCCGGCCCCCGTCGCCACGCAGACAGATGTGCAAGATGGCCCAGCGGCTTACATTTTACATTTGTTTGATTTTGTCTCTGCAAACCCTCAATCCCTTCATCGTATTGATTCGGGCAAATGAATCAAATCAAGATGTTAACATTGAAGTTAGGTTTCTGCCAGAAAACTGCAGCCAGAAAGCCAAGAGAGGAGACATGCTGAATGCTCATTATGATGGATATCTAGCTAAAGATGGATCTCAGTTCTATTGCAGGTAAGTGCATTTTTACGAATGAAGTTGTTGTATTAAACAACAAATAGGCTATTCAATGCAGGTTATATCTCTGCTTTGAGAGAGAGAGAGAGAGAGAGAGAGAGAGAGAGAGAGAGAAAGAGAGCTTGTAAACAGTGTATTTAGTATTTATTCGCGTTGTAGATAAACACTTAAAGGGATAGTTCACCCAAAAATGAAAATTCTGTCATCATTTACTCACCCTCAAGTAGTTCCAAACCCGTATACATTTCTTTGTTCTGCCGATCAGAAAGGGAGATATTTTGAAGAAAGTTTGTAACCAGGCTGTTTTGGGGCACCATTGACTTCCATAGTAGGAGAAAAAAATACTGCTATGGGAAACAGAGCAGTTCTCTACCCAGAACTGCTCTGTTTCCCACATTCTTCAGAATATCTTCCTTTGTGTTCTGCGGAACAAAGACATTCATGCAGGTTTGAAACTACTTGAGGGTGAGTAAACGATGACAGAAATTTCATTTTTGGGTGAACTATCCCTTTAAGTTATTTTATTTCCAGACAATGCCAAGTAAAGCTGTTCGTATTCATTTTCTAGTCGTTCGACAAACACGGGTCACCCACACTGGTTTGTGTTAGGCGTTGGAGATGTTATTAAGGGCCTCGATTTAGGGTTGGACGGCATGTGTCCCGGTGAGAAGAGAAAAGTCACAGTTCCTCCATCTCTGGCATACGGCGAGAAAGGAAAAGGTAGGTCTTTTCACTTCAAATGCGTAGAGAAACTTACAAACCCTTACACAGGCGGCGCTGGTTTGCTTTTTATTTTTTATTTTTTTGAGTAATGTTTGTTGTGGGTGGTTTTGTTTTTAATTCCATTGATTTGGACATTATTTAAAATTAACTTTCTTGTTTTTTCCCCCCTATAAATGGTATTGTTTTTTAGATCATTTATTAAAAGTCCAACTTAAAGAAACCTGAATAACATTATTTCTCATTGTACTGATAAATGATGTCCTAGATAATTAACATCACATTGCATTATGCTTAAGAGTAAAATATTTTTCTACCCAATATTATAGGATATTACAAAAACATTGAGTTCACATTTACTTGTTTAGCGCATTTCACAGTGATTCCAAAGCAACTTAATGAAAATACCATCACACAACAATACAACTTTTAAAAAAAGAAAAGAAAGAAAGAAAAGAATGTTTTCTTTTCTACAGATCCCTAATTTAAATCTCAGTTAATTATGAAAAAAAAATAAAGGTTTAAGATTTAAACTATTAACAATCACCATTCTGTGATGGAATAGGTCCTGTACCACCAAATTCAACTGTGATCTTTGAGGTGGAGCTGTTGTACATAACTAGAGGACCACGCAGCATAGATGCCTTCAAAGAAATTGACGCTGACAACGACAAGGCCCTGACAAAAGAAGAGGTAATAGACATCAGTTAATGTATGTTAATTGTTGTAGCAGGAATTTTCTTTTGCATACCTAATTTTTTTATTTATTCATTATTATTATTATTTTTTTTATTTAAATATTGTCATTTTGGATTTACAGATTAAGGAATACTTGAAAATGGAAGCAAAGAAGTTAAATACACAGAAAGATGAATCCTATTTTGATGATGTTGTGGCAGATGTGTTCCATAAGAATGATCACAATGCTGATGGGACCTTATCACTAAAGGAGTACGATGTTTATGGTCATGATGAACTATAAACACTATTAGAAAGACATTTTTATGCAGCTGGTGCACTGGATATTGTCTACAAGACTTCAAACTGTAGAGTTGCTAAAGGATTTTGCTTTGATGAACGCCACTAAATTTTGAGTAAATTTCACTCAAATACTAACTTGTACTAATGCAAAAAACTAATAGCGCATAAAAAAATATGCTTTTTCAAAACCGTTCAGACCTTTATTCAAAATGCTGGCACCTTTCTCAAATTTATCATTATCTTAATGTTCTTCACGCTAAGAAAAAAATGTTCTTTTAAGAACTGTTCAAAGATAGGTTCTTTGTTTGGAGGACCAAAAATGGGTTTTCTATGGCATCTCTGCAAAAAGCAGTGTAAACAACCTTGTTTTTTGAACACAGCACACAATGGTAAACTTTGCACACATTTGCAAATATTTATAGACCAATATAATCCATATCGGTCAACCACTATTTACAGCCAAACAATTCAGGCATTTGAACTCACGGATTGCATTTATAGCTCTGTTTAAATCATTATCATATTAAATGTCATATTTACATTGTATAATGTTGAAAAATTTACTTGAACAGCATTTTCTAAACAAAATGTATTTGCCATGTGTTTGCCTAAGTAAATATACAGTCACCCTGTGAAATAATAAAGACGTTTCCATGACACATGGTTCACATGATTCCATAAGGGGGAAAAGGGCACATTTCACTGACCAACCATAAAATTGGAAATGAGTTTGACCATGGCCATTCAAATCTTGCTATACCCATTAAGAGCACCAGGTGGCTCTCTAATACAACTGTTTAAAGTGGTTGAATGCACTTTTCTTGAACCTACTTAAAAAAATTATATGCAATTTAGTTTATTACAGAAAAAAAATAAAATAAAAACAAGTGGCCTGTTTTTTTTCATTGGTGAATTTGTGATAGAAATAAGGAAGAATCTATTGGGTGGGGAGAATTACAGTTTTCTGATTTATAGACAAACATTATATTCTAAGAACATGTGCAGTAAGCATGCATTTGAACCATTACGCATGCATTTCCCAAACAACCAGAGGTAAAAAAAAATAATATTAAATGAGATCTGACATTTTTGAGCACAGACTCAAAACTTGGTTTTCGTGTAAAACTCTGACTCCCTCAACTCCCCCGCATGCCAAAAGTGACGTAAACCATGTCCGTGCCAATATTCAGAGCAGATCCAGTCAGTGGAGGGAGAGGGGTTGGAAGAAGAGGTTGAAATGAGTTTTACTTTCAATGTAAATTGTAAAATTTCAGACAAGTCATAGCGGTTTTGCCGAAGCGTTCAAACAAATCACCACTGGAGCATACATTGAATTTTAGCAAAAATCTTAAGAGGGAAAAAAGAACAACTCATCCTTTCCTGAAACAGCTATTTCAACACTGGCATTCTAGTATTCTTTATGCCTTTGACTGTTAAAGTTGGGCTTTGACAGACAGATGTCTTATGTGACATAAGTACTAGCTTGGCTTAGGATGGGATGGATGTCCTTTAGGGCTTGGTGATTACAGGTCTATCAGAAAGAGTGCTGTTTACAGACCACTAGGTACAGTTCTCACCAAAACAATCATTTATGTTACACTGTACTTCACCCATGTCAAGTTCCCATCACTTAGTTAGCTGATGTTTGATTGCTGCAAGAGTTTATACCATAGCGATGGTACATTTACAGAATTAATACATTTAATTCTGTGTATAGGCTGTGTAGAATGCAGACGTATAAATGATCCCACAAAATGCAGATAAAATGACTGTTATAGTTGTATGAATTTTAACAAAGCTCCTTTGTCTGAAAATGAAATGCATTTATTGTGCTCTGCATTATGGGCTTGAAAAAAGCAGTCTCAGCATTAAGAGAGAATGAAACTCTTTATGAAATCTGATGCTTGTCCCTGCCCTCCTATGAAAAAAAAAAAAACCATGAGGGCATTTTCCAATGATGAACTCTATGTACAAAAAGACTGCGCTCAAAACTACCACCTCTCCCTTACATTCCCAGTCCCCAGTCATTTATAATATTATAGAATGCAGACGTATAAATGATCCCACAAAATGCCGATAAAATGACTGTTATAGTTGCATGAATTTTAACAAAGCTCCTTTGTCTGAAAATGAAATGCATTTATTGTGCTCTGCATTATGGGCTTGAAAAAAGCAGTCTCAGCATTAAGAGAGAATGAAACTCTTTATGAAATCTGATGCTTGTCCCTGCCCTCCTATGAAAAAAAAAAAAAAAACATGAGGGCATTTTCCAATGATGAACTCTATGTACAAAAAGACTGCACTCAAAACTACCACCTCTCCCTTACATTCCCAGTCCCCAGTCATTTATAATATTAAACACTGCATAAATTACACAATATTATAGAATATCATGGTATAGCGATCAACAATGGTACTAAAACACAAATGAACAAAGTCTGTTGTAAAGGCTGTTCTGCTCCCCTTTATGGGAAAAAAAGAAACAGAAGGCAAGCTTCCTTTGGGCATGTCAGACTGCAGTTGTGTTATTGCTGCAAATCATCCCCCATTCTGTATGTATTTAATTATTTTTTTTAATTGCCAGTCTATGCGACAACCAAAAAAAACACTGATTGGTTAAGGGTAAACAGAATGTTCCAAAAATCCAAAGAGCAATTGAAAGACACATATAATATTGTTGTGCAGAAGTGTGATCACAAAAGACAAATAAAATGCTGAAACAGCTCGAACAGAACATAGTTGAATTAGGAATAAGAAGGCAAAGCATACAGAATAGCCAGAGAAACAGCGGCACAACAGCACAAACAACATCTGCATAAAGTCAAGCCAAATTCCAATCCCAAGAGTTCACATACTGCAGCACTCTCGAACAGCAAATGGCAATACCACAACACTGAAGAGGGCATGTTTAATCCATTCAGTCTCTTCAGAATGTATAATACACCATAAATCCATTTCCAATATTTTCTAGTAACTGGTTTTACAATTTCCATCTGTCCTCTATGTTTGCTGTGTTTATTCTGGTCTTAAAGCATTTCTCTCCTTTTTTGGCACGTTGAGTTTGGATCACCAAAGTCGTTCTACAACAATGTTATAGCATGGGCTTAAGATTTGTCTGCATCCTATTGTTTCCGTAAACAACAGCAGCATGTAGGTGTTTGATAGTTTACACATGTAAGCCATTTATCAAGGTGGCACATTCAGACGTGACAGGTCTGCACTTTATGAGGATGGCAACAGAAAGAACCCCTGAATAAACACCTAACCAGACGTGTTTACATGGGAGGACGTCCTAGAGAGATGTAAGACGATCTGAATAAATATAACATTTTGTTCTGCAGTGATACAAATGTGTCTCCTCTTTCATTATCCTTGTTTGTCATGGGTAAATATAATTGGAGAGTGAAGATATAAATGATTTGAAAATGCTTGTCATTAGAAATGTTGGAAATATTTTTTACAAGTCCTGTAAAGAAATCCTCTGGATTTTGATGCAAAGTCGCATGCAAAACAGCATTTAAATTACATACATTCTGTGAAATCTCCACCGAGGAATGTAAGTCAAATGAGGTTTGGAACATTCTATTACAGAATGACACTATGACTTTTTTTTTTTTTTGATGAGCTAATCTTTTAACATTTCTAAAAAGTTTAAAACAAAAGCTATCCACATCATATAGGTGCATAACAACTACTTTAAGATATATATATATATATATACATACACATACGTATGTATATACAGTATATGCATGATTTAGCATTTAAAAAACTTTCTCAAGCCAACAGCAAGTCCTCACTTCTTCCAGAAACCGTTAAATTTGACAAGCAACACGTAGCCATTGTGGAGAACAGATCGGAGCACTGAGGTCATACATATCCTATTCATCATGGCTTTAGCATTTCCCTTTCACACACTAAAGCCCCAGCTCCCTTTACAGCAACCCCCCAGACAGAGTCACTGCTTTACATGCATTTCTCACTATGCTTCTCAAACCATGAAAAAAACTGTTATTTGATATGTATAAAAAGCTTCAAGATCCTTCAAAAAGAAAAGGATGTAAAACAATTATATTTTGTGAACACTGAACAAGTACTTGACCTGAGGATGGGAGTTTTTGAGTAGATTTTGTTACTTTAGTGAAGAAAATGAACTTGTGCCAAGCACAGGCAGTTTTGAGAGAAACTAGAAACATGTGTATCTTCTCAATTTTGCAATGGTTTCACTAACCAATGGTTCTTTTTATTGGAGGAGGAGAAGGAGAGCAATACACAATCCCAGTATTAGAAATGGCGGCTTAAATCCATAAACACAAACACTGAAACATGTCATTTCTTGATATGCCACGTAACAACTTTTCTCTCATGAATGCTAATTGAATTGTGAGGGAGTAAAGCAAAAAGAAGCAATGCAAATGTATGTTATTTATATGCAATGAAGTTGCAAAATGGAGTTTATATGCATGTGCTTGTTCCGTGCTCCCTGAATTTAGGGAACATAACATGCAGAGCTGCAAGTAGCAACACACCTATGCTAACAACGGACCAAAAAAATTATGCTATGCTTGGCTGTCATTACTCAGCTAACAGCTATTTGAAAGAAAACTGGCTTGGGGCTATCTTTTATTCTCATTCTGCCATCAATCAGCCACATAAAGAATAATATAGACACATTTTGAATGAATCAACTTTCTCTGCAGAGACATGCAATGTGTTTAAGCATGTAATCATCAATTTCAAGAGCTATGATCAAAAAATCAGCTGTCAGAATAACGCAGTGTGACATCAGATTGACATCAATATTTTTCTCAATAATCTAGTTTAAAAATGTCAAAAAAAAAATTTTTTCTCCATGTAAGTTTTCTTAAGATAATACGGCAAATGCCTGTGTTCACCCAGGAATGTTTACATAAGGCTATCATAGGTTTTGTGCTTTTAACTTTTTTAGCAGCACTGAAGTTATCAATCACACCCCCACAATGGGATAGGCAAGAGACCATCTACTACACTAACCACACATTCCTGTAATGGAGGAGGGGCGTGACTACTGCTGGAGGTGGACACTGGTACAAGTCTTTTAACATGACATCAGCAGCATGACTAGGAGTTTTATAAAAGATTTACTTTTTTGACCATTTGTATGTAGCAACGCCACCCTGAAATCTGAATTTCACCTTGTCAGGTGTTTAATTTTGTTCAAATGCCATTTTGTTTTTACAAAAATTTGAGGATTTTCTCAAAATAAAAAAGTAAAGTAAAAGCTGTTATTCCATCATAAAATTATTCTATCATTTGAAACTCTTTGTTCTATAAAATGACTATTACAACAGTAAATCAAGTAAAATAATTAAACATCCTCAAGACAACAGACTGCTTTTAAATAAAGCATTGGATTGGTGACCTTTTTGGTTGGTTCACATGGAAATGCCATACATTTCTTTTGCTCATGAGCAAACCAGCAAACTCAGGTTCAGAAAATGTGGTTTATGCTCTGAGACTGACCTGACCTGAGTCATAACTCTTCTGAGCATTTAAGTGTGAGACACACTATTTGGTCTACTTTGAAAAGCATGCATACTTCCAAAACTACTTGTGTGCAACTCTATTATTGAACGAGATAAAAACTGCAGGAAGGCAAA